AAAGAATACACTATGAATCAAATTAGTTGGCTTAGCAAATAGACATTTCCTTCAGTTATTTTCATGCCAAATTATGCCTGTTAAAATGTATTGTAGGAACTACTGTTATCATCATCATCATCATCAAAGCTTTATTAAGAACAAACCACAAACAGTTATAAAACATAAACAGTAACAGACAACTAAAAAACAAGACAACTTGTCTTTCATTTAATAGCACAATTAATATTTAGAGCTGCTTCAGCAGGGCTCAACCAGTCAAGAGTGAGTGATTTTCTCTGTCTTTTGTTGTTAGATTAACATTGAGGACGAAGACAGCAGTAGTTTTATTAGGCTGCTGTCACTTTAAGAGCTGCATGTATCCAACATACTTACATGTACCATTTTTTTTCAACTGTTTAAATTCACTTAAGACATAACCGACTATGTTTCACAAGAATACTTGCCAATACGGGCATTTTTTTTACATAATTTTGTGTGAATTTGTCCGTTAAAGCACAAGAAGACATGAAAGAGAAGGCAGCTTTTCTGGGCGCGCGCTTCTGATGTTTTCACACAGAAAACTTATTGAAAACGTCATGCTATTACTGTACCGCCTTCCTGAAATAATGTAGGGAACCACTCGTTATACATAAATCATGTAACAGTTGATTTTTGTACTTGCACATACGATTTAGATTTAATGCAAATGACGCATGTGAGCTGAGTGAACAATCAGCAATCAAAAGTAAGCAACCGAAGTGTGCGCTCTCTCTCTTTACCGTCAGTTAACGTTGGTAATATGCTCCTCATTTTACTTTCTTTGCTATCATTTCCAACCAAACTACAAAATTTCCAGCAATGTCAATGAAAAAGGGTTGTGCGCTCGACAAGCTTTCGTGTCTGTGCCGCTGTGCGCTCAATACACTCCGTGTGTTTTGCCTCTCAGCTCGCGCTCAGCAGCTATAGGCGTAGAAGTTGTTTTTGTTTAACGTTCTATTATTTCGATACATTTACTTCATACATATCCTTCTCTGATATATCCATTCTGCTCTCCTTTCCTCTGTTCTGTTTCTCTGTCACAAGCACTGAACTGCACACGCTGCGTGGTATTGGTTGTTGGTATCGGAGCATTTTATTGAGTTTGAGCACACTTCTTTCGAAAATCTTACCAAGCCCAAACTTTTGAATGGTGAATGTAAGCTAATGGCAAATTCTCCAGCCACATCCAGAATCAGGCCGTTTCCCAGTGTTCCCCCTCCAAAAAGCACCAAAGACCTCTCTGAATACCACATGATGAGGTGCCTCGACTCCTGAAAATAAAAGCCCATTATCCCAACTTCTTTGTGCTCCTCTACTATCTGACTCTACTCAGGCAGCCCCCATTGTCTCGATTGTCTGCTTCCATTCTCAGACCCTCTGGCCATCTTTGCCCCATTGCCAGTCAGCGAAGCCCCGCTTTGGTCCTTCTCTTATTCCACAGCCCATGACTCTGAGTCTGAATAGCCTGCATCTCTTAAATTCACACAAAAGATGGCTTCCTTCCAAATGCATTTACTTCAAGGGTGGGCTCAGCGTTCTCTCTGATTCCCCTGTTCCCTCTGTTTCATCACAGACGTCTGCAATGTCAATCAGCAGAACAAGGCGGGCTATACTCCCATCATGCTAGCAGCACTAGCTGCCGTGGAGGCCCCGAAGGACATGAGGGTGGTTGAAGAGCTGTTCAGCAAAGGAGATGTCAATGCAAAAGCCAGCCAGGTCAGTGTGATCCGACAGTTACACTGAAAGAGCATTAATAACAAACAAGAATAAGCGAAATAGTATGTTTATAAATGTGCATTAACCTAGATTAATAGCTTTCCACACAGTTACTTTAGAAGTGTCTAAGCTGATCTAATTGACCCTGTGAATCCAGGCTGGTCAGACAGGGCTGATGCTGGCTGTCAGTCATGGCAGAATGGACATGGTGAGGGCTCTGCTCGCCTGCGGCGCAGACGTCAACATCCAGGACGATGAGGGCTCGACCGCGCTCATGTGCGCTAGTGAACATGGCCACGTCGAGATAGTCAAGCTGCTGCTGGCTCAGCCGGGCTGCGACGCCACACTCAGCGATAATGTAAGTGAGCAGAGTCCCCTTTTAAACTAGATAATCCACCAAATATGTTTAAAGAACATGAAGTATATTTCTATAACGTGTCTAACTCGTTTCTCTTAGTGGATACATACAGCAGTATTGTTAGGAGACAGCAAGTAAGGCTAATGAAGCGTTTGACCATTTAGATGTTTTTTTTTTTTATCCCTAGGATGAGAGTAACGCCCTGTCAATTGCTCTGGAAGCGGGTCATAAGGACATAGCAGTGTTGCTGTATGCCCATATGAACTTCTCCAAAGCACAATCACCAGTGAGTGACCACACTTTCACATTCAGATGATATGCAATGCATTCATTTTATCTGTGTATTTGTACATTATGATCATAATTCAAAATGTCTTTCTTTTGAAAGAGCTTGAAAAATTGGGATATTTTTGCACAGAACTAATATAAAGAATCTTGACCTGTTTCAGTGTTACAGCTGAGAATGACAGTTTATTTTATAATGCTAGAGTTTAGGGTCTTTTCTAATGGTTATATATTTTGCAGCTGACTCATGTTTGGCTCTTAATCATTCCTTTTATGTCTGTCATCTGTTCACAGGGTACGCCTCGTCTTGGGAGGAAGACTTCACCCAGTCCTACAAGGAAGGGACATGTTTGATTGGAGAGCTTTTAGCCCACCCTGCCCGAGCTGCTATTTTTTCAGGTTCTGCCATGCCTACCATTTTCATCAGCTAGAAACCAAATCTAAAGCTAAAAGACTGAAAACGTACTTCAAACCTCAACTAGTGGATAGTAGGCAATTATACTGAGCACTTTTGCAAATGTCTTCTTAGTGATGTCTTTCTCCTTGGCTTCAGATTATATAATACAAATGGACTTGCTAGTTAAGAGTCGGTCCTTTCAAGACCTCAAATCTGTACTCACCCTGAATGTATTCGAAACGAAGTATTTCTTCTGCCTGAAATCACCAGCATAATATCAGAGCTAGAGGTCAACTGGAACGTGGCTATGGAGTTGCCTTCAGAATTTTTTTATTCTCATATAAATGTCATTTTATAATATATGAAAATGTCTTGGGATTTTTCCTCTAAGTGGCCTAAAGCTTATCTATAGTCCTGTTCAAAGCTGCCCCCCCCCCCTTTCTTTTTTTTAAAGAATCAATAATTTATAATTCCAAGATGTGGCCAATGTTGCCTGACAATGAGTTTTATATTTGAACCATGTATATGCTGCCCAATATTTTCAGAGTTTAAATCTTTTCTCCTCTATCAAAACCTCAGCAGAGATGTCCAGTGCGTATCACAAGTTGAAATACAGATTTTCAACTTGTTTTATTCATGTTTCTAGATTGGAAATGGTTCTTACTTTTATACTTGCCATTTCATCTATTTAAAAATCACAGTATTTAGGAAATTTCTGATATATTTACCAATTAAAAGTTTTTATCGGAAATAATTGTACTTTCATTGTATATAATGTATGTTTGCGATGTGTAGATATAATAGCTTTGGCTGGCCTTTATGTAATAAACTTATGTCTTGCATCTAATGTGTGGCTTTTCGTGTAGTCACAAATATAATAACAGAAAACTGCCGATAGTAGCCTATAACTCAATAATAAAGTACTAAAATAAAATGACATGGCTTGTTGCTGGTTTTTTAGTCTATCCTATGAAACTTTTCTTTCACTGGTTTCGTACAGGTCAACAGTACAATGTCTCCCTCTACTGGAAAGGACAGCTAATCTACACTCTTAATGAATTTAGGCATGACTTGCTGTCTTGAGCTCCCTTCTTATTAGGCATGCACTATTATTCAAGCAGGAAATATTCAGTTGAAAATAATTTAATTGCATACATTAAACCAATGTATTTTTAAACATAATTTAATATTAAACATTGAATTATATTATATTTTATACTTACTATATTTTAATAAAGTAGGCCTAATTAAAACTGCCCCCTAATTAGCTTGACTTGCAGTTATTTGCAGGGGTGGGATTTGCAGGCATGAAAATATGATGAGCAGCTTTTCAATTCTATTAAAGAGGAGTGCCTTTTAGTTATGGACACTGCGAAGAGAGTTATTATTATCATCATCATCCTCAATTTCCTGACTGGTTTTGCCTAGTTAGTCCCTGCTGGCTGATACCGTAACTACACCATTATGCTGCTAAAAATATTTTTTTTTCTCAACTGACCATGATTCAGAATTAGGTATGTATTGTGACAATTTTTTTTCAAGCGTAGGCTATATAATATTTTATTATATTTTATATAAAGTCAATTAAAACTAGTCAATTATTTTATTTAAATTGTCAATTATCACAGAAATTGTACTATTGAAGTTAATTTGATACCCTGTCTGGACAGTGATGTCATCTAGCTCATGGGTTTTCAAACTTTTTGCTCGGACAGTCCAGTTAAAGGAAAAAAAAAGTGTAAAAAAAACCCTATAGAATATTTCGTTTTTATTACGTTGCAGCTGCTACCCTTAGCTTCAAAGTACTTTTAGGTGTCTTTTTTTATATTATTATTATTGTTGAATGTAAACATTTAATTATTTTTATTTTATCTGAACTTTCCTGATATCCCCGGACCCTGTTTGAAACCCCCCGGTCAGTTCCAACTTTCAAGAAGGTTATTGGACCTTAAATTATCACATTTGATGAATCATGAAACTTTCAATTTCTTTGAGACCCATATACAACAAAATTTAAACACGCTTTATAACGAAATCCTCGCATTTTGTTTTGTGTCTTATGATCTATGATTTCACGAGACGCTTGGGAGTCACTTTGGTCTCAGTGGGAAGAAACTGAACATAAGCTCCCACGCGCACTGGAATGCACAGGTTTGCTCGCGCCAAACATTCGCCTATTGTATCAAACCTCAGACCAACCAACCCCCCCTTGCTCCCCCTCCATATAAACGTCTTATAATCCGCTGGCGTGACATATTCGCGGCAGAAGAGGCTGACTGTCATTACCACCTGTCAGGATGAGTGAGGAAGAGCAGAGTAACGGCCCGCTGGCTGTCAGGAAACCGTCCCGTATGCCCAAATGCTCACGCTGCAGGAACCACGGCTTCGTGTCTCCGCTAAAGGGCCACAAACGCTTCTGCAACTGGAGGGACTGTCAGTGTCAAAAATGCAGACTAATTGCTGAAAGACAGCGGGTCATGGCAGCCCAGGTAACTTAACGTTACACACGAGCCATTCTCGATACTAGGACCATGCAAGTTCAACCAGAGTCTGATTTGGGTTTTATTTTTTCCTGTTTCGTTGTATCCTCCGCTCTCTTGTGATCTAAATGCATTGTTTGTGTTTGTGTATGTGTTGTTTATAAACTTTTAACTTCTCCATATGTCATGCCTTGCCTCCCCCTATCGGTTTTTTTATTCATCGTTAACTTACTGCATCAACCGAATCGCATAGTTTTTAGTCGGGTTTTCCAGTTTACAGTCGAGTTTACAAATAATTAGACTGTTTGCTACAATAATCATGATAAATTGTTTACAAGTATAGTAACGGTTGCTAGCTACATTGTTGAACAGTGCCGTTTTTGCGACTGTTTCAGCTAGCTGCAGTTTGGCGCCGATATTTTTTTTTTCTCCGAATAAAACAGCCTGTGGAATAACTATCATTTAATACGTATTAAGTCATTTAATTGTTACGAAATTCTATTTTAAATGTCTCGTGATACTTTTAATGCATTAGAGAGTGAACGTGTTGTCCCGGCTGGGCCTTGAGTTCAATGTTTGTCGTGTTAGGTGGCCTTACGGAGGCAGCAGGCCCAAGAGGAAGAGATGGGCATCTGCAGTCCGGTTAACCTGTCCGGTTCAGACACTATGGTGAAGAACGAGGTCGTGGGTGATGTGAACGTGTTTACTATCAGCTCAGGACCGCCATCACCCACCAACAGCAGTGACACCGCATCTCCCACCAACCTAGGTGAGAGAACCTGATTAACGAAAACAATACCACAAAGGATAGCCTATCTCAATTTATCAAGTCCAGTTAAGAAATGGATGTGGTTATTAACAGTAGGCTATGCTGAGTTTAAATACCAAGTTTAAAAATTATTTTGTAAATGAATCTAAGCAAAAATTAAAACGTCATTATATACATTATAACCTTTGTAATCGCTGTTTTTGGGCATCACGTGAACAAAATAAAATCACACTGGGATACAAGAGTCAAATATATTCAAGGCAGATTTTAACTGTAAGGGCGTCTTTAAAAAATGTCTGGTTGGGGCAAGTTGTCATGCTACAGTTGTGGTAAAAAGTTTGCAAACACCTTGCAGAATCTGCAAAATGTTATTAATTTGAACAAAACGAGGGAAGTTGCAGCGCATGTAAACTTCTGAACTGGGTAATTTTATGTGAAATTGCTTACTGAGGGGAGTAGCTACTAAATACAAATAACATGCCATTTTTATTTTAATATTTTATTTTGTTAAAACTTTTAACATTTTGCAGAAGGTAGAAAAATGAAAAAGGTCGTAGTAATGAAACTTCTGATGCTATGATTAAAAAAAAAACCTTTATAAGGCTCTCATCATAATATAATTTGATAAAATGCCTTTCAAAGCATAAAATGTTTAATGGTTTCACTGAAAACAAAGCACCAAGTAGTGGACATACAAGCTAAGTGAATAGAACCTTAAAATTGGTGGTTAACATGATATTTAATGAGAGAAATTTTTTTGAGACAAAAAGGATGTTTTTTTTATTTATATTTTATTGAACTTTTTTTTTTTTTTTTTTTTTTTTACTTTTGGCCACAACTTACTGTATTTGTTGTAATTTTATGGAACTGCATTCCTGTTATTGCTAATTTATTATACATTTAAACAATGTTTTTGTTATTTTTTAATATTACATTTTATGTACTTTCGGTTTCATTACAGTTTCAACATGTTAAACGATATCATCTTTTTTCTCTCTCGGGTAAATAATGGCATAAATGTTCTGTAGAATTTTTGTAGTCAAATAGTACCAAAGTTAGGTAAAGGTAAATTAAATTGACTAAAAAAAAATTACCTTCAGAAATTTTAACTCCAGCAAAAATGGGACAACTACCCCAGTCTTCCCTAATCTCATATGATCACTACATTTTTGAGTAATTTATATATTTATACTATGGGGCTGTTGAATGCTTGTCCTACACACGAGAGTTTTAAGGACTAAAACCTAACAAATATCTTGAAGCACAACATCTGAACAATGTCTTGAAGTTTTGGAAACCGTAGTATAAGTGGAATAATTGACGACGGGCCGTTTAATTATTAGAAAATAACACACCCGAGGCTTCGTGGCTTGGCCACAGACATTACGCCGGGTGTTTATTATTTTCTAATAATTCAAAGGTCCGTCGTCAATTATTCCCTATATATATATATATAATTTCAGGATTCTTAAAGCCAGACAAAAATCTAGTTCAGTAAAATATAAAGAAAAAAAATCCTTTTTGTCTCAGAAAATATTTTTCCATGCAATATCATGTTAACAAAAACAAAAAATATTTTGAAGAATGTCGGTAACCAAACAGTTGATGGACCCTATTGACTTCCATAGTATTTATTTTCCTACTATGGAAGTCAATGGGGTCCATCAACTTTCTGGTTACCGACATTCTTCAAAATATCATCTTTTGTGTTCAGCAGCAGAAATAAATTCATACAGGTTTGAAACAACTTGATGTGGTGACTAAATAATGACAGAATTTAAATTTTTAAGTGAACTTCCTTTAAGGTTCATGTCAATTTTAAAGTTCTATTCACTTAGCTTGTATGTCCACTTCTTGGAGCTTTGTATTTAGTAAAAGCTCTTAATGCAACAAAACCATTTAACATTTGTGTTTTGAAAGGCATGTTATCAAATTATATTATCATGAATGCCTAAGAAGCGTAGCATCAGAAGTTTCATTACTACGAACTTATGAATTTTTTTCATTCTCATCATTTGTCCATCAATTTACACCCTCTTATTAAAATAAGACCTAAGCTCAACTCTCTGTAGGAGGTTTCTGTGAATCAGCCCTTTGTCACTTTACCATGGGAAAACAAAAAGATTAGTACATCTTGACCCCCTGAACTATCCACTGTGTGAGTGGCAGAGGAAAAACTAAAGGAACCATGACCATGAACATCTTGTAACCATCCCATAATTCTCAATTCTGCCAACTTCCTCAGAACACGGTACAGTCAGTGAGGTGCACATCCATTCTCATAAGGGGGGCGGGAAGCTATCAGCATAGATGGCGATTGTGCCGTGCCAGACCATGTCTGTGTCTGTTGTGTTCGATGAATGAGAGAAACATCCTGTTCCTGGTTCTCCGATAGGACTAAGCAAGGAGTTGGATACCAGACAGGTCAAGGTTGTCTATGGTCTGTGATTTAGCCAGCTGCCGCTTGAGTTGCTGAAAGATGAAGCAGGAGTTACTGGCGGTTTTCAGAATTTGTCGTCAGAGATAAAGTGACGCATGACATAACACACATGCAGACAAGATTACTTCTCATGAACTGGCATTTTATATTACTGTGAATCCGTGCCATTACCGTCACTAAAGAATATTTAAATCATTTCTAAATTTAGTGTTTGTTGATCATATGCATATGTTTTTCACTACACACTACGCCTTATGTGTGATACCCATCGCAGAATAGGCCATTCCAGGATGACACACTAATTTTGTCATAACTCTTTGTCATTGAAGCATGTTTTATTAGATTCTGCTGGTTTTACCCCTCTGAGAAACCTTTTTTTTTATTCAGTTAACTCTTTTGAAGACATAAGTTAAACCAAATATTTTTTTGGAGTTTTTAGCAAAAATAAATTGTAAACATATAGTTTTAGCATACAATTTTCTCGCCATGAAAATAGCCACAGAAGCTGGCATGGCGTTAAAAAAATGTGTGTGTACTAACTTGGATGGGTTAAAGTCTGAGTGTGGGTTACTACTTGGCCTTCTTCACATGTCACTTTCACTTTCTCTTTCTTTCTTATGCCTTGCAGACTTTTGTGTGAAATGTGAGAATATCTCTTGGGCACTACATTTTACGATTGTCACGATTCGATATATATCACGAAACTGAACTCACGATACGATATTATTGTGATACTCCTAGTCATATGATAAAAGGTTAACAAAAATTGTACTGTTGATTAAAATGCAAAATTTGGTCTTACATTGGGGTGGAAATGAATAGACTTGGACTTGGTGCTGGTAACCCAATGCACAGGACAATGGTGACACCAGAATAAAAATAGTCTAAGCTAAGCTAAAACTACAGAATTATTTTAGACTAATATGCTTGCACTAACTAATATTTTAAATAATGTAGACCACTTTTTATCAGGACCCACAAATATATAGTTTAATGTAGTACTGACACTGAAACTCTGTAAACGTGAATTTTTTCTCACATAGTAATTTTAATTTTGGGTGAACTATGCACAATACATATTGTCACTATCCACGATACATATTGTTGCATTTTTGTATTGCGATATATTGTGACACGATATATTGTTACACTCCTAATAATTACAACATTTTTCATTTGTTGATCATTTGCATGGTTTTATGCCTTACAAACTTTTTGCAAGCATGTTTTTTTTTTTTAAATGTGAGAATAGCTTGGAAGGAATACGTTTCAGTTGGTTGTTTAAAAAAAAAATAGAAACTGTATAATTTCCAATTTTGTATTATGTGTAAAATTTGAATCTGATGGATTTGTCCGAGAATTTTGACCTATTGTCTGATGTTTCAGAGAGCCGTTCCATGCTGGCTCTGAGCTCTGCAGTGACCAGCAGAGGGCACAATGAGGGCCCTTCTGAGCTGATGGTGGATGCCTCCTATTACAACCTCTACCAGCCCACACCGTACACGTCCTACTATAGCAACCTGTACAACTACCAGCAATACCAGGTGAATAAATGTGCTCCTCACATGTCAAGTGCAACTGAACTGCTCTTTCAGGTTTTAAATTACTGTTATACATTATTAATTCTACACTAATATATGCTACTATTATATAATAATAGTACATATTATTAATATTATTAGTAGTAGTATCAGTAGCTTAATACATATAAATTATGTATGTATATAAAAGTATGGACTTATTTAATATATATAAGCTACCGAGTCCCATTTGCACGTCATTTCAGGAACCTTTACTGTAAATTTGTAAACAGTAAGTTGTTGCATTATTTTAATTAATTATTTACATTGACCTTCTCCTGCTAAATATTACATTTATTTTGATTATTCTGGCTTCACATTAGGTAAAACGTTTGCTTCATAATATTTTATAGTATTTAATTTAAGTAGGTTTTTTTTACACACTAGCTATGGTATTTCTTTACCATAAAGTGTCAGTTTTTTACCGTAGGGTTGCATCACTGTAAAAGTAACTGGAAGTGTTCATGACAGATTTTAAGTTTGTCAAAAACGACTCAAATTTATTTTGAATTAATCTACTGACCCCAAACTCAACCCCCCCCCTACTATATAGTATCTTCAAACCAACCCTTTAGACATACAGTACCTCACACGAGCACACTAGCAAACATCCGTGTGAACGCCTGCATGTTGCACACACCTCCACACTCACCCAGTCTGCGTCCCATGTAGCCCAGGCCACGGTAATAAGGTGATTAAGTGTGTTGCAGCCGTGTTGATAGGGGCTGCTGTCATTGGACCCGGCTGCCTTGTTGAAGTTGGCAGGCCGTAGTGAGCTGCTGTCCTCGGTGCACAGTGATAATCCTTGTGCCATCGTTCCAAACCACTGGCCAAACACAGCAGGAAGGTGTGGAGCTTTCATGCCACTCTACACCTCTTACAGGCTGTTTACATTTCCCCGCTCCCCCTAGCCGGAACCGCAACTAATTCTGTCATTGGAGGTTTTTAACCCTTATCCTCACTGTACAACTATCACAAGACAACTGATATATCAAACAGTCTAAATAAGAACTGCTTTCAATTAGTGTCACTGTTTTTGTTTTATAATATCAGCTAAATGTGTTTTTGTTAGTTTAATATTGTATTTAAAAAAAATCCTAATCTGCAAAATCACATATTTCCAGTTTTCTAATCATGCTGCTCAGATACTGACGCTCTCACTATTCTACCAGTAAAATATCTTTTTAAAAGTATGACTTCTGTTTATAGTAGTTGCATTACAATTTTTTTTTAATGTAGGATAACATATTGCTGGTGTAACTACACTGTAAAAAGTTATTGTTGGTTTAACGTAAAAAGGTAAGTTACCTGGTTGCCTTATTTTACTTTCATTGAAATTAAGAGTTAGTACAAGGAAGGAGATTGGTTTAATACATAGACACTCAAAATATTATGTTCTCTGAACCACATTAATTATCTAAGTTGATTTGACAAAAGATAAAAAGTTGTGATAACAAATCATGAAACATTTTGTTTGGGGTCAGTAAGATAATACATAAAAAAAAAAAAACTTATTTTAAATTGTAATAATATTTCAGTTTTTACTCTATATGTTATATATTTGAGCAAATAGATGCAGCCTTGGTGAGCATAAGAGACTTCTTTCAAAAACATAAAAAATATCACTGACTGTAAACTGTATAGGCTAGTACTTACAAAGTGGGGTCAAAAAGTCAGACAACACTGGAGAAAATGCTTTCAAATTGTTTAATGATTTTATAATGTTAAAAAAAATCATTACACATGATATTTATAATTATCACAACTATTTTGAGCTTGATTGCAAGGTCAATATGAATTTCAGAATTTCTTAGTATTTGGTATGTTCTTTTTTTGCTTCAAAAATAATCTTGTTCTTCAATGAAATCTGATCTTTTGTACAAAAGATTTACATGGTCGGGATCACAAATGAGCTTATTTGATTAGTGACCAGGAAATAGTGCAGACTAGCAGGGGCTAGGCGTTTCCATTTGTAATGATAGAGACATTAACATATTAACTGTATGGTTAAAGATTTAATACCAAATTATATTCAGATGTACTGTAATGCAAACCATTAGCCAGATGCAAACCATGCAGTTCTGAGGCCAAGCACATTAATCTGTCCTGGCAGCAGCTCTCCAGTGTGGACATTGTCTGTGTCAGACTATACTGCACAAGTTTGAAGATGTCTGTTTGAAGATATCCAATTGGACAGCATGAAATTGAGGGCATCCTCAAAGTCATGGCCCGTTCAACTTTGATATATCATCATTGTATTGCAACAGTTTTACAAGCCCTTATTAATCAGCCAAGACTCACTGCCATAAGAAAGTGTCTTCATACTATGAAATAAAATGGCTTTCATATGGAGATCAGCCTGTGTATATGGTCTCGATTTATATTGCAAAGTATCCCTGTTGTATCAAATCTGATCTACTCAAGTGTGAAGTAAATTCAATCTATATTTCTCCAGGGAGTGTTATATACACACGTCAGTGATGGGGCCATATTTCAGCATATTTGTGCAGTTGGGTCCCTGATGGCGACATATTGCTCAAGGGTCACCGCCTCCATCTCCTTAGTGTGTCCCAGGGTTTGAATTGCAAAGGTTAATGACATTGCTCATATGAAGATACAGCTTTGCTGTTTAAGCACTGCTCTGTAGAGGGGGAATGTGACTTTAATTCTGATCTCACATTGCCTGATTTAACTATTTGGAAGATGCGTGAAGGAAATATAATGTTTTTATAGTAAACTATCGCTGCGTCCGAAATCGCAAACTGTCTGAGTAGTACTAAATTTGAGTTTACTTTGCGACGTTCTATATAGTATGAATGAAATTCGGATGTACTACATCCGCCATGTTGTTACTGTCACGTTACCTACCAGCATCAGTTGCGTCGCTAGTCTTCCATTCATAAATCCCCTCTCGTGGCCTCGTGGGATAATAAATCGAATGCGCACTTCAGAATCTCTGCGAAAGTAGTACGTGTACGTCACCCAGGCAGTGGCGGAGCCAGGATTTTTTCATAGGGGTGGCCAGGCAAGGGCCAGCAAACAGTCTGGGGTGGCACATAAATCTTAATTATTTTAACATAAAAATTTGTTTAAATAATGTATTGGACTGTTTTAGTGCCTTCCTACACAACTGAATACAGTTAATTTGTACTGAATTGTAATTGAGATAGTAGTGAATTAGGAATCATGGAATACTGAGTGAATTTGATCTTTTTTATTATTATTATTACTTACCACCTCCAGGCATATTAATAAAGGGGACACGCACTATAGCTAAAGTTCAACTTGCTCAGTTAGCTTGGTTCTGGTTCTCAAAACCCCTAACATTGTTGCACCTTCATGGATGAGACATGCAGATAGCCTACTGTAGTTCAAAGATTATTTAACCTTCATTGAATTTTATATAATCAATGAACTTCAACTTTCTATAGGCTATTAGTTGTCAAAATAAATAATATACCTAAATTAAAAAGGGGGGTAAACATCTCTTTTGAATCCCTATGTGCAAGAATGTGAACAAGGCGGAAGTCAACAGCACATAAATGCCAGAATGTAAAATTTGTTATTTTATGAATTTAAAAATTATCCATTTTTGTTTGTCCTTTACAAATTAATGTAAAATTACCGCCTATATCTTCTAGTACAAATGCACAGTGCTCACATTTATTTAAAAAATTACATAGCCTATCAGTTTGTGCCTTTAATTGTGATCTCACATGGCAGAATATTTTAGTCGAGACATATGTGATGCATATATAACAAATACATGCATGCATGCAGTTTTGACACAGATTTTATCGCCTTTTTGATTATTTCATGAGTTAATTGACGACAGAAAACTACAGCACGCCACATTTGCGCGTGATGTGCAAGTACAGTACAACGGCTGACAGGACCGGAAAGTTAGTTTTACTGACATTTGTTGACCTTACAACATCTCATCTTGCCGCAGTCCTACTGATTCAGGACAACGCGTTTTTCTCCGCATCTGACAGAAGTGTCACACGCTTTCACACAGATCGTTCAAAATAAAAGTAGCATCAGAAAAAAAAGAGAATTACGTTGTTGTTTCTTTGACTGCACATATGCGACTCACTCAAAACGGTTATGCAACCCACCAGTTGAGGAACATCGAATGTTCGAATCTGTATTTACTATGCTCCGATCACTGCTGAAGCTTATTCGGCACCTGTACATTTCCGCACTCGTTTGACTTGCGCCTGGCGCTGAGGTGAAGTTGGGGTGCGCGTCTGAAAAGTCTCACGTTTTTTGTGGTCTTAAAGAGACGGTTCTGTGTTTTAAAAACGCAATTCTTGTAAGAAAGAAAAAAAGAAAAAGAAAAAATAGAGCGAGATAGAAACAGAAGTTGTGAGAGGGGTGGCCAAAGGGGTGGCCAAGCTTAAGCCAAGGGTGGCCATGGCCACCCCTGGCCACCCCCTGGCTCCGCCACTGCACCCAGGGGCTTTTGACTGCTGTTTTTCAAATACTATGTATTCAGACTACTCTTTTGGCGTACTCTTTTTCGCATAGAGTAGGGAAGCATTCGTTTTCGGACGCAGCGCAAGACTATTAGTTTAGTCTTCGTTTTTGTTTTATTGTTTTAGTTTTCATTAGCTATCGGTTTGGTTTTAGCTTTTAATAAAACATTAATTTATTTAAAGGGTTAGTTCACCCACAAATGAAAATTCTGTCATTGTTTACTCACCCTCATGTCATTCCAAAACCCTAACACTTTCGTTCATCTTCTAAACATAAATGAAGATATTTGAATGAAATCTGAGCGATATCTGTCTCTCCATTGACAGTCTACGCAACTACCACTTTTTCGTTTCAAAATTTCATAAAGAGATTGTAAAACAAATCCATATGAATTGAACAGATTTAATTTAGGCTTTTATTCACATAAACGTTCATCAACTCGCACATCAGTTGGTAAACGGAAGCTCAAGCATGTTTGCTTGACG